CCTTATAAAAAGATTTTTTAGATTTGGAAACCTTTGGAGACTCCACAGCTGTTACTGTAGTTTAATGTCCATTGTGAGTCCAACAGTGTTGTAGGCAACAGGCATTTTGATCATTTTTTAAAGGGGGGATGGACCCAGTTCATTTTGTTCACCACCCTCCCACAAAATCATAACCGTTACGAGACATACTGGCTTCAAACTGCCTGTGGGGAGAATGGACATGTAAGAGTCTGCTCATTCTTGATTACCAGCTGTTCTTGCTGTCTCTTTCTTTGGAGCACACTACTTCTCTCTGTCTCACTTATTTATCCAACTGTTGTCTCTTGTCTCATCTGTCCCCTGTGTGTGTATCTCAGTCACAATGCTTACTGGAATGCATAAATTTGATTAGCTGAGTAGCTTCACGTGAGATGATTTAAAATGCATGCAACTGGTCTGTAAATTTCCTGGTTGCAAAACCAGTGCAGTAAAGGATGTCAAAACTTAGTAAGTCTCAATAATCTTTTGGTTATAGATTTGCGTGCACAGACTGGTTGCCGGAAGAAAATGTTGGCATAGTACGTTTGTGCAAACAACAAATACATTACATTTACACATTTCTTATGTATCATATCAACATTTCTAAAGTAAAGTAATATATGAACTGACTTTGTCATCTGGAGGTGGTGGGGATGGTGGACATTTTGACAGCCAGGCAAGATGCCTACCAAGCTGCAGACCACTGTTTGAGATCAACAAAACCAGTTATGATATACTGAGTTGTTGCTGGGTTTTCGGCAGCTTTTAAGGGACCAAATGTGGGTATTTTGTCACACTCCATCACTATTTTTCCAGCTCCTTTTTAGTGACCAATCACTTTGTTTTCCAAAAGTGGTTGCTTTCTTCTGAGACATCGCTGCTTTTTGTACTGGGATTGTGCCCCCAGATAGGGTATCTTAAGCCAAAACATGATCTTATCAAAACCACTTTGATAACAAAGTGTTTTTTGCACCTAAACCTAATCACAGTTTAACCACAACATTGCTGAAATGTAAACAAATGTAAAGTTTCAACATATCTTCTACATAATAATGTGCAAATGTAACGTATCTGTAGTTTGCAGAAACGTACAATGCCAATATTTTTTCTGGAGGTTGGTAATGTTGCTAACAAGGGAGATGCCCACTCCCAAATTGCATACTGTTAATTGGAGAACATTTTTAAGTAGTGAGCTTTGGAGTTCAAGTATGTTATCTTTGGACAGAGCCAGGCTAACAGTTTCCCGTTTGTATTTTTTATGCTAGGCTAAGCTAATCAGCTGCTGGTGCAAACTTCATGTTTACCACACAGACAGACAGTCTGTCACTCAAAGTGGCCCCGGCCCTAGAGACTTAAAAGTTTCTTTGTACCAGGTTGTTAACATGTTTATGTCTGCTGTAAAGTTTGGCATTTTAACATGGGATTCTATGGGGACTGACTCACTGCTGGAGCCGGCCTCAAGTGGCCATTCTTGGAATTGCAGTTTTTGGCACTTCTGTGTTGGCTTAATTTTTCAGCCACTTGGTATTTACCAACAAACATTGTCTTTTAGAACTACAAATGCTTTATATCGCTGCTCACCATTTATTGCATATCATATTTTATTTCAATTAATTACTATTTTTGTCAAAGACACATTATTGTGGCTTGGTAATGCACTGCAGACATATCTTACAACTTAATTCCCATACAAATGCAATGCAACTTTGACAGCAATAAATAAACACATATTGTGTTAATTGCAATAGATCTGTTTCATGGCAGACATTTTGACATGTCGTAGTAGGAGAAGCACAGGTGTATTTCATAACATTAATGATAGCTGCATTCCAGTAAGGGGAGGTCCTGGTATTGTGAATGCTGGCTCACTGGAACAGCTTACTGGCACACGAAATGGAACTGAGCCATCGTTAATGTTATCAATTTTACCTGTGCTTTTCCCACTATGACAAGTCAAAATGTCTGCTGTGAAAAAGGTCCATGGACTGTATAAGGCAGGTCATTTTCATTGTTGTTTTGACTTCACTGGAAAGTGATAAAAAGTAGGAAAACCAAATCTAAAACATTACATCATGCTGAAGAAAGCGCTCTGCAGTAATGCCAGTTCCAGATTATCAGATGAGGTTTTCACTCCACCGAGCCCCAAAACACACATCGCTCACACCGAGGGGTCAACAAACTCACTGTGAAAATAACCAGAATGGAGATAAATCTCAATTGAAATATGGATGTATGGAAAGCAGAGACAGATAGAGAAGAAGAGAAGAGGTGAATCATTTTGATATAAGCCAGGCAGCTTTCCAGAGGCTACGACAGAGACAGCTCATAAATCTCACAGTGAGACCAAACAGCCCAGGAAATTAAGTCATACCCTAAATACACCATTCTAGTACGAACTGAACGTCTCTTTTGTTCACAAATATTTATATGTTCTTTTACACCAGTCTCCCCCCCCCCAGAAACAGGATAAGTGCACATTTCAGAGTTTCAAGAGTGTTGTATAACATCAGTGAATATAGAAATTACACTTTTTAAAGTAGGATTCTGCAGCTTGAAACTGTACTGTGTTTTGATCCTCCACAGTTTGGCGCTGTTTCACAAGTGGAAAGTATGTGGAGGCTTTTTCCACACGGGAGAGAGATTGGTGACTCAGTTGCACATAAAAAACATGCACAATGTTTTTGTTGTTTTCTTCTTCTGTTTCTCCAAAACCATCTGTTTTATTTCTCAGTCCTCGGGTATGGCTCATTCCACATGACCTGTGACAGGAATCATTACATGGCAGTCTCGCTCACAGTAGCTGTGAGTAAGTTTAGCGGAACCAGCAGCCCCTGCACCATGACACAACCGAGGCAGCCTGCTGCAGTCAGTTTTATTATTTCCCCCTTTTTGTACATTGTTTTTGAAAACATTTCGTGTCTTGGCAGAGGAATAAACTTGCCACAAATTAACCCCACAGACCTTTGGTGGGCACATATTTATGACCAGCCAACCATCAAACATGTTATATACAGACAGTCAAACCCCATATTTCTTTTATATTCTTATTCCATAAGATCCCAAGGTTTCAAATCCATCAAATGCCTTCAAAATAACATCCTGAATGTGACTACTTTCACTCATTTTAGGTTCTATAAAGCTTCAGCACTGGAACAGATTTAGCTTTATATGTAATGTGTGATCACCGGTGAAAAATGCATTATCTAATTTGACGTCACTTAAAGGGAATATTGGGAACATCTGAATTCAACTAGTTAATTAGGTGCCAGAATGTGAGGGCTTTTCACTGCAAATCACAGTTTGTTTGTTTGATGACCAAGGGATATTTAGCATGTAAAATCATCAAAATAAAACCGATTCTGTCTTCAATAAAACTACTCATAATGTCACTTATAAAGCATCTCTGTCTTTTTCTCCAGAATGGTGAATACCCAGATTTAAAATTGGGACATTGCACTGTCCAACATAAAAAGCAGATGATCATGTATTTGCTTGGAAAAGTCATGCAGACTGAATGTGAAAGTTTTTTTCCCTCTGCACTCACTTGGCTAAACTAGACAGATGACAAATGAGGAAAGGAAATGGATATGGATGTAGAGCAGGCTGGAGGGAGACTGTGTGTGTATGTGTCAGAGTGTGGTACTAATAGTAATACAACACAGTCAATTAATACCTTAACATAATTTAACAGTATACATCATCAGTTAATGTGGTAGCCTATCAAAAATTGGCAACTATTTTTTAAGGGAGAAAATGATGGAAAAAAGCTGCTGTTAGTGACTCAACATACGCAGAAGAAAAACGATGACTGTGCTGGATTTCTTAACATGGACAGAAATGCATAACCAGACAGACAGTTACAGTTTCACTCTCCCTCCTTCATCAACAAGCTGTTGTGATAAGCCCTGGATGTTCTTGCTTATTTATGATGCAGAAATGAGTTACACATATTGTAAAGCCTGCTGCACATGGGACCATCAGCCACCAATGGCCCCCAAATCACTTGATTAAAAACAAGGTGTACTGCCTGATCAGGGATGGGAGAATACATGATTTTAGTGAATTCCATTATTGGGATTATCCTCATAATTGCGAAGAAAGACTCACACAATGTTTATGCAGATGCAGGGGGGCTTGATTGATGATAGGAGATGTGAAGATGTGTTCTGTGATGCAATAAAAACATTTGTTTCTAAACACAATATAAGGTTAAGAGATCCCAGTATGTTTTAATGCCATTTTAAGGGTTTTAAGCCTATTTGGACAATTATCTGGACAATGTCATGAGTTGCAATTATTCTGGCCAGGATAATCGTGATAAGACATTTTAATATCATCCCATGCCTCTGCTTGATACTGTTATAGTTTCTAAAAGTTGCACAAATCCCAGAGCTGGGAGGACATGTTGGGATTTGTGGAGCTTTAAATAAGAGCAGTACACTAAATATTTGGGATTATGATACATGGGTGCTGTATATGTTTGGAAATTGGGAGTGCTATAACAAATCTTATCTGTATAGTTCTATCTTTTTTGTTTTGGCCTGCCATTGCACTGTATGGGAGTTGCTTTGCTGTGTTTTTATAGTAATTTAATAGTCATTAAGTGCATTTGATTATTGTTTGGAGCTTTTGCACATGTTGCAAAGTTAATTAGCTTGAAAATTACAATCAAACAACCACAGCTCTGGTTTCTGAGGGACTGTGTCTAGTATCAGCTGTAGTGCACTTATGTTAACATCTATTTTTCTCTCCTTCACAGCAGGAATCAAGGTGCCATCTCACCTGAACAGACTTCAGATGCTCATTCTTCTTCTTTACACCTTCATGTTTTTTCTTGTCTTGCTGCTTGTTGAAAGTAAAGAGTCTAGAGTCAGTGTTGCTCACACTCGGGTCGCGGGTCATCCAAAGCTCCAATTCAAGCCCTCCCCTTCTCGAGGCTGCGGTGTGAAGGGTATAAAACCAGTGCGCTTCCCTCTTCTCAGTCTGGTGCACCGGCTGCGAGGCTGCAGCGGAAGAGTCACAGAAATCAGATCTCTCTAAACTGAACTTTACTTCTGCACTCGCTTCTTTTGTAAAACTTGCTTTGTTAACTTTTTCTACTTTACCTTGAAATTTTTTAGTATTTTTTTCTTTGTCAAAATGACTGGTAGCCCACTGACAGGGTTACTGGTTGCGCTGTGCGTAAGCAGCGCAGTCCACGGCTTGCCAAAGAAGAGCAAAAGACAAACTGGCCAGTATCAGGTGTATCCTGAGCTCCGTGACGCAGCGGCCGTTAGTCCAGGTTGGTACAAGACTTCCATAACTATCAAGTGTTCTTGAATTTAATTCTTATCCATGTGTAAGAAAAAAAAAAATCACAGATTTTCTTTCTGCACCAGAAAGTAATTTATAGCGGTTTGCTTTAATAAATGCAGTCACTTTTTGGTCATTTATTTTGCATTATTTGATCTAATTTTTCGTTTGAAATGAGCCAAATCAGCCAAACTTTAATGGCCGTTTAACGGTCCAAGTGTTTAATCATCATTATGTAACAACATGCCTATTATATGATTTCTAGTCGGCTGTGAGGATAATGGTCGCTCATACAGACCGAACGAGCAGTGGGAGAAACCCTACCTTGGTAGTACACTGGTGTGCACGTGCAATGGAGCAGCAGGCATCAAATGTAAAAGCAAACCTGAAGGTCAGTGCGAGACCAACCGGTTTGAAATGTCTTCGCAGGCTCAGGTGCACCTTTCACATCTGTCACCTTCTGTTTGGGACAGTTGCCTCCTCCAGTATTTCATATGTCAGAGCTTTTGTGTCAACACCGACCAGTAAAGTGAAATATAGTCAATCACATCATGGCTAAAACACCAGACCTGTACAGGAAACAGACTGAGATATCCACTTGTTCAGTCACCAGTGCGTCTTTACGCAGCAAGAGAAATATCCACGACAGGCTCACAGTGACAAACTCTTAACCTTTGAGTGTTTCCTTTGTTTTTCTCAGTGGAGGAGACCTGCTATGATAAGTACAATGACCGGACATACCGGGTCGGTGAAACCTACGAGAGACCGAAGGACGGGATGATGTGGGACTGCACCTGTATTGGTTCCGGTCGTGGCAAGATCAGCTGTACCATAGCAAGTAAGTGAGGAGCATGGTAAAAACAGTTCCAAAGGAAAGACTGATTACCTTTTCCTTGATTGCCACCTGCCATGAACTTGCCTTGAGTTTTTCCTTTCTATGTTTAGAATTTCTTAGTTATGTTCCCTGCTTCTTTCATGCTTTGGAAACATGATGTCACCTCAGGATGTTTGACTTAAAGTGTAATGACTGAATATAAAATCTAAATGATGGATATGTGTCCACCACAGATCGTTGCCATGAAGGTGGAAGGTCTTATAAAATCGGGGACACTTGGCAGAGGCCTCATGACACTGCCGACTACATGCTGGAGTGTGTGTGTCTCGGAAATGGCAAAGGAGAGTGGACCTGCAAACCTGTGGGTGAGTACTTTTACCTCTGTAAATTTAAAACTTGCAGGGAAACCAAGACATCAACACTTTCCATATGAACTCTGGAATTCAGATGTGAAATATTGCAACTTTAACATGTAGGCTTGTATATCAGTTGCCACCACACACACACACACACACACACACGCACACACACACAGAGTTACAGACAGGGCAATTTCTCAGAAGTATGACTGTGTTTGACACCATTGTAAATATTTGACAGCAGTCCAGACAAACAAGGTAAATGGGCGAGAGAGCACGCCTCCCCTCATTGCCCATCTTACGCCACAGCTATTGATTTTCACTTGGTTTATTCCTCCTGGAAATGTCTGGGATGATTTAGACGCTGTAATGTAAAGCCAGATTTTACAGTATCTCGTGACAAACTGCAGATACAATAAATCTCCTGTGTTTTCTGTGAAGCTGAGCGTTGCTACGACAACAATGCTGCATCATCTTACGTCGTGGGGGAGACCTGGGAGAAACCGTACCAAGGCTGGATGATGCTTGACTGCACCTGTCTGGGAGAGGGAAATGGACGCATCACATGCACCTCAAGGAGTAAGAAGAGTGCACACATCAACACACACTTTAATATGCTTCAGTATCAGCTGTTGACCACTGTTTGTTCTCCCACCAGACCGCTGCAACGACCAGGACACCAGGAGGTCATACCGCATTGGAAACACATGGACAAAGACTGACACAAGTGGACACAACCTGCAGTGTCTGTGCTCAGGAAACGGCCGTGGAGAGTGGAAGTGCGAGAGACACAACGCAGGCCGAAGTGAGACTCAAAATCTGAACTATTGCTTCACTTTGCTTTAAGTGTTCACCAAAACTTTACTCTGATCTTCTCTGACATTCATTATTCTTTTACTCTTTTTGGTGGTATGCAGGCACAGGCACCGTCGTGTTGACCCCCACCCATTCCCAGACTCTGCAGCTGCCCGAGCCCCCCGTCGAAGGGGCATGCCGCACAGACTCTGGAGCCACTTACTATGATGGACAGCGCTGGTTCAGAAACCAGGGCAGCAAGCAGATGCTGTGTACCTGTCTGGGCAACGGAGTCAGCTGTCAGGAGTGGGGTGAGTGAAAACAGGGGTCTCAGTGAAGGAAAGAGGAAGTATGATGAGTTTTACTTATATTTCAGTTTGATTATAAGTCATCAAACTTAAACCACTAAAGACAAGCCTTTAAGATGTGACGCTGTGGCCTGTTCCTAATTGTGTTTCCTTGACAGTAAATCGTTTAAAAGCCCCTAATTCATCCTCGCTCATCCCTCTCCTGTCTGTGCAGAGACCAGGAAGCAGACCTATGGTGGCAACTCCAACGGCCAGCCATGTGCATTCCCATTCGTCTTCAGCGGGAAGACCTATTACTCCTGCACCTCAGACGGACGCACAGATGGACAGCTCTGGTGCTCGACAACCTCAGACTTTGAGAGAGACCAGCAGTACTCTTTCTGCACCGAGAAGAATGGTAAGACTCAGGAACAGGGTTTGACCATTTTGCTGGTTGCGTGGCTATATGGGGCTGATGTTGGCCTTTTATTAAATCACAGCATTTCCCCTTACAGTATAATCCACAACCAATTTATTTAAGATTCCCTCTCAATATCTTACCTTTAAAAAATCTGTACAACCTGCAATTGAATTTCATCATGTTACATTTAAGTCTTAATATGTCAGAATACATGATACTTGGATACTAATTTTTAGTATGAAAACTGTCACATTTAAAGACACAAAATATTGGTGCAAATTTTGGCAAAACTTTCAGAAATCATCAAAGGCCCCAAACCCCAAAGATAAGATAGTAACTGTTGTACGTCCCTCTCTGTCGCAGCCATTGTGGCAACACGAGGTGGAAACTCCAACGGCGCCCTGTGCCACTTCCCCTTCCTCTACAGTGGCCGCAACTACACTGACTGCACCACAGATGGACGCCGTGATGGCATGAGGTGGTGTGGTACCACCCACGACTACGACACGGAGCAGCGCTTTGGATTCTGCCCTATGGCTGGTGAGTGTGTGTGCTCTGTTTTGTTTGTTACACACTTTGCTGTCACTTTAGAACCTTCCAATTAAACGTATAATAACATCAAGTTATTGAATACTTTTGTCTTCTACAGAAAGTTTTCTAATTTACATTCCCAATATAGACTATACAATCATGATGTTAGTGAAAACAGATGTATAAAGGACTAGTTTGACATTCTGGAAAATATGCCTATTCACTTTTTTTTGCTGAGAGGTAGATGAGAAGATTAATACCACTCTCATCTGTAGATTAAATATAAATCACCATGCGGTTAGCTTAGCTTAGCATAAAGGCTGGAAACAGGGGGAAAGGTCGCCAGACACTGTTGAAAGGTTACAAATCCACCTACCTGAACTTTCCGAACAAGAAAGCAAAAGATCAAAGTTGGTGCAGTGGTCCTGGGTCACATGGCCCAAGTCAGAAATATTGTGCCTTTTTTTTGTAGAGGATGCAATTACACTGAATAGTTTGGTCTTTAGCTCATCTTGTTGTTATAGATGTTAATGGATGTTTGGTTGCATGGCTCACTTGTAGACAATTGGGGCGTTTCAAGAAAAAGGGTTTATGGTCATGGGAGAGTGATGACTCTAATAGGGCTTGTACATTTACATCTTGATTACATACAGAGTGGTGTCACTGGGCTGACTGGGCCATGGAGAATCACTGGTCTGAACACACACAGTACTGTTTATTTTATTTTATTTTTTTTACTTGTATTTCTTCATGTAGCCCATGAGGAAGTATGTACCACCAACGATGGGGTGATGCACCGTGTGGGCGACAAGTGGGACAAACGCCATGACGTCATGGGTCACATGATGGAGTGCACATGCCAGGGCAACGGCCGTGGGGAGTGGAGCTGTGTTGCTCACTCACAGCTGCGAGGTCAGAGAGCAAACTCCATTTGGGTTTGAAACACAACTGTTTGAGTTGTCTGGAAGCGAAAGGTTTAATGTTGACTTTGCTCCTTTCTTTATGTGTCCAGATCAGTGTGTTGTTGACGGCTTGTACTATGAGGTAAACCAGGAATTCTCCAAGCGCCACGACGAGGGCTACATGATGAACTGCACCTGCTACGGACAGGGACGTGGACGCTGGAAGTGTGACGCCATCGGTGCGTTCGTGGCTCATTAGCTCAGTTCAGGAATTAAAAATGCTCATGCACTTTTCAGCTGAATCACTCCAGCCTCATTTGTCCCATCTGATCTCTGATGTTTTCTTCTCTTTCCTACAAACAGATCAATGTCAGGAGCCACAAACCAGAACCTTCTATCAGATTGGAGAGACATGGGAGAAAATCATCCATAACATCCGCTACCGCTGTTACTGCTATGGCAACGGGATTGGCGAGATGAGATGTGAACCTCAGCAGACCTACCAAAGTATGAAAAACCTATCTTCTGAGCATCATCAGTTTAAAGCTGCTGTCTACTTCAGTTGGTGCACAGATCTGTTTCTGCAGTGTCCACATATTTGAATATGGTGGTTCAAATGTTGATATGCATACAACAACAAAAGTAATAGTGTGTCAAAAATTGCACTCCTTCTCCTCAGAGTCATAACTCAGGCATGATGCACATATATTTAGATTCAGCCTGACTTTCACTTATATATTTCTAGTGTCCACTATGGATAAACATTCATTAAGCCTTCTTAGAAATCAGAGAAAAAACACATCTCTTCTGATCTTTACAAGCTTTTCTTTGGAATTATCAGAATCAGTCATCTAGTGATAACAGGAAGTTAGCGAGTGCAAACGGGAACTCCAAATAACTAAATCGGCATGACTTTTTGTGGTGCAAATTTGCAAAAAATGCAAACAAATATAGGAAAACTGCATTCAGATTTCAACCTCAGCATCATTTTCTAATTTGCTGATGATCTATTTGATATAATTGTTATAACTTTGGCAGGTCTGAGGCTCAATTATGGGGTGAGAGATTTAATTCCTAAACCCCTGCACACTATAAGATAACAAACATAACCTATTAGTAAGTAGGATTATTTATTTGCAATATTTAAAGGAATACTTCACCCTCCAAATGATCATTTGTATATCAATTACTCATCCATGTTGCGTTACATTTGTGAAGAAAGTGTTTTCTTGCATGCCTTTGCAGGGAACAAAGAATCCAAAAACGTAGAAAATTCAAAATGAATTGAAGTCATAGGGGTCCACATTTAACAACAACAAAACTATAGTAAAACATCAATCTGTTCACAAACTCTCACACAACTCGTGCAGTAATATCCAAGTCCCATTTATTCAGTCATATGCTCAGTAGCTCCCAAACAGACAGCCCTTTCCAACGGGATACTGAACTGAAATGAAACGTATCTATGCTCTCTTCAAATCCAGACTCCATTGACAAAAACAGTAATTTTATCTAGCTAAACACAGGAGCCGCTTGTCTACTGCTGCCTGGCTCTGTAGTTTGCTTGTGTTAATGTGTGACTTTGGTGAATCCAAACTAACCCTTTAAAACATTAAAGTCACACATTAACACAAACAAACTAAGTGATCGAGGCAGCAGTACACCAGCAACTCCTGTTTTCAACGAGGTAAAATTACTGTTTTTGTCAGTGGAGTCTGGCTTTGAAGGGAGCATAGATAAGTTTCACTGTCAGCTTAGTTCCCCATCGCAACTGGCTGTCTGGGGATGTACTGAGCATAAAACTGGACAAATGAGACTTGGATTATACTGCGCAAGTTGTGTAAGAGTTTGTTAACGGATGTTAAGATACAGTTTTCCTGTTCCTAAATGCTGATCCCTATGATTTTAATTCATCAAGAATTTCCTCCGTTTTTGGGTTCAGGCATGCGAGAAAAACAAAGTTTTCTTTACAGATTTAATGTAACACAGGCGAGTAATTGATATTCAAATGGATATTTGGGGTGGTGAAGTATTCCTTTAAGTTTTATTTATTTGGGAAGCTGTTATGTCTCCAAAGCGTCTCAGTCCTACGCTGCAGTTTTTCCACTAAGTCTGACAGCTGTTCGTGCTTAATTTGTGTTTGCTGTACTTATTCAAACCTCCTACGTTACTGACCTCCTTCCTCTCACCTACCCCTAACCTCCCATCACACGTCACTGAAATGAAAAGTTCACTTGCCAGGTTAGTGGAGGGAAGCGGGGGTTTGGTGTTTTTTCTCGACTTTGAAGTCTGCCAAATGGAGAGGTGCTTGCCAATCACATCACCCCTGTCCTCCCCTCAGTCTTTGTAGTTGGAGAGGTTTTTCCGCCCCCACCTGCCGTTGTTGTGCTGACCTGCTGAGGGGAAAGGGATGCCGGGAAGAGGGGTGTAGACTTATACTCTTCCTGCTGCCAGTACATTCATGTAGGGTAAAAGTTGCTTAATGTGGAACTTTGTACCGCAGTGTCCTGAATCAAACACTGACCTAAAACTTAGTTGCAACATTAATCTCACCATGATTAGTGTGTGTGCAGTGCAGGGAGTGTGAAGCTATATGTGTGTGTGTTCATGGGGGTATGGAGGCTAGATAAACTGTGATGAATATAGTGCTCCGGTGTTATGTCGCACCGTAAGATGACAGTAGGTGTTTGAGCTGGTTTAGCACCGTCTGGTGGTTTGGTTCTGTCCCAAAATGATGAATCCCTCTGACAGAGTCTCACCAAAAGGTAGCCAACTTTCACCCACACTCTCTAACAGGTAACACCGTCACATTATTTGTTTTTGACAATGTGTGAGCCTTTTTCTCATCGCTAACAGCAGCGTTGTTTTCTCCTGGTGTCGTCCTCTAAATCCTTTCCAACAACTGCCTCTCTATCTCCTCAGGCGGCCACAGACCTGTCCAGGTGATCATCACAGAGGCAGGGAAACAGCCAGACTCCCACCCCATTCAGTGGAATCCCCCTTCATCTGTTCACATCACCCAGTACATCCTCAAATGGAGAATTGTGAGTTGCTCTTTTGGTTCATCTTTTTTTTTTTCGTCTTCAAAAGGTTGTTTTAAATTTGCTGACCGGTAGCATTAGTGAAGGTGAGCAAACAGTCAAGTGCTTTTGGTAATGTTGACTGAAGTTTGAACATGGACAAACATGGTGATCAGAGGGTACATGAACTCCCCTTTACTAAACGCAAACACAGCTTTTTAGCAGACTCCAAGGAAAACATCCCTCCCCCCGTGATTGTTTTTCTCACACATCTTTTTCTCTTTGAAGACCTCAGAGACTGACAGGCTGGCTGAAATGTTTCTGAGGCTTTAATTGAAGTCAAACAGATTTTCTCTGGAGGCGTTTGTGTATTTTGGATAGAAAAGTCACTCAAAGCCCTCATCTGGCCCTCCTGCTGAGAGAGTTTGTAATTTTCCAACAGAGTGCAAAGCCAGACTAAATACTCCTTAAGCAGGATGTGGCAGCGAACTGGTCTGAGTCAGAGTCCAAAATATACTACCATAAAAGGTCTTAATTATCTGAATTACTTAATGATTCCACTTAATTCTCCTAAATTTTCACGTTTTTATTCAATTAATCACATCTGTGCTATCAAAATTGTTCATTAATGTAAAGAGTTATGCATGTCAGCAAGAGTTTAGAAATCAGATTATCCAGTTGAGTAAACAGTCTCACCACAAGGTCCATTTAGTAGCTGTTCTGGAGCTTTTGATCACGTAACATGCCCTGCATCAGCACATAATGTAATTATAAATGTTCTTCCAATTTTTCTGAGCACTTTAAAGGAGTCTTATCCATGTTTGCTTAAAAGTTAAAGTTTGGCGTTTACTCTTGAGCTTTGCAAGTGCTCAATAATAATGATAATGATAATAATCAGCAGATTATCCACTCTTCAGTCAATACTTTATGTCATTAAAGAGTGAACGTATAACCCATTGACTTTATATCTTTTTACTCCTTCTGGCAGAAAAATAGCGGTAGTCCCTGGAGGGAGGTCACCGTCCCTGGCCACCTCAACTCCTACACCATCAGCGGGCTGCGTCCAGGCGTCACCTACGAGGGTCAGCTGATCAGCATCCTGAGATATGGACGCCGTGAGGTCACACGCTTTGATTTCACCACCACCCACGGTTCCTGTGAGTAAACTTGAGACGCAACATTCTCTTAACCCCACAAATCCTAAGTAATTCTTTTTAAGGGAACATTACATCTTTTTTATCTCTCAAGTGGAAACATCAGAGGGAGAGACGACCCCACTTCCTCCAGTGGTGGACACTTCCGAGTCTGTGACAGAGATCACCTCAAACAGCTTCGTTGTGTCCTGGACATCAGCCTCTTCTACCATCTCTGGCTTCAGGGTGGAGTATGAGCTCAGTGAGGACGGGGCCAAGCCGAAAGTCCTGGGTGAGAGCCTTTGAGCGTCACTGATACATCTATAATGCCTCCATAATGTCACATATGAATACAGTAATTAAATGGACTGATTAATTAGGCAGTTTTTCTGCTGACGTTCTGATAGATTTACCTTCAGGTTATATGTGGTCAACAGATTTATTGTAGTAAACGCTGTGACACCAATCTATCAGTGGAATGGGCAGTATGGGTAAAATGCTCTATCGCATCATGTCGTATCGTATCGTATTGGTGACTTTATATCACCGTATTGAAAAATGTCTTATAGTACATTTTCTGGACACTAACCAGAGATGTCTGTCTGTTTTTTGCTTACGTTGCCTATTAAATACCTGGTTAGCCAAGGTATTTCATCACATTGATTCAAAAATCATGCAAAAACCCAATCATGCCATTATTGAGCAGCCCTCCTCATTCATGTGCAAAATGGTTTCAGTCACCCAGGAGTACTGACAACATAGATATCATTGTATAATATATATACTGGATATACTGTGTGTTAACGCACTTTTTGTTGGCTTCTCCAGATCTCCCTCGCACAACCACCTCTGTCACCATTGGCGACCTCCTGCCAGGACGCAGATACAATGTCAATGTCTACGAACTCCCTAATCAGGGACAGCCAAACCTCATTCTGACTACCTCCCAGACTACAGGTGGGAGAATCCCTCTCCTGGTCAGGATTACGCAAATTCAGTCAATTTTTACACAAAATATGACGTGACAGATGTCCGTTTTTTTGCCTTTCCCCAGCTCCTGACACCCCGGCTCAGCATGCAGTTGATGAGGTGGGAGAGACCTCCATCCGAGTCAGCTGGACCAGGCCTCAGGCTCCTATTACTGGTAAGAAATATGTCTGTGTGTGTGTGTTAATGTGTGGTTTAGTGGTCTAGTAAAGAGATCCATTTCATTTTGTCTGTGTGTAACTGTGCCTGCCAGGTTACCGTGTGGTGTACACGCCGTCAGTGGAGGGCAGCAGCACTGAGCTGAACCTGCCAGACTCAGAGACCTCAGTGACCCTTGTTGACCTTCACCCTGGTCTCCTTTACAACATCAGCATCTACGCTGTGGAGGAAGACCAGGAGAGTGAGCCTGTTTTTGTACAAGTCAACACCGCTGGATCTCCTCTACCAGGTGCACATTTTTTAAACAGATACCATATCTTTCAGTTAACAAAGAAGCAGAAATGAACGAAAACTGCTTCATGACTGAGGTTTTTCGCTAAATTAAAACATTCCCAGTATGTTATTCTGTTCTTTAGATGCTGAATTCTTTTTATATAATTCTTTGTCTTTTGGCTGTCAGTAAAAACTGAGCAAAGTAAGTTTATTCTTGCAGCTGAAGATTCCTTATAGGGGGCTTTAGAAAGGGCTCTCCAGTGTTTGGGAAAGACTGAGCTTGTCAAAACATTGCTTTGTCAAAATACACTTAAACAGCTTTGGCTATATAATGGTAAGATCCTCTTATCTTCATCCTAGTCTGCCATAGCCCCTGAGTGACCTCTCTTTAAACATGGTGGGTTCAGAAACAGACACCTGTTCAGGCACTTAAGAGAAGCATGCATGCATGTACAGCCCACACCCACACAGAGGCACACACACACACACACACACACACACACACACACACACACACCATAAATCCTCTGTATATCTTAAATTGGATTTCAGACCCTCTCCTTGTGCCTGGCACGGCAGAATGTACTCTTTATTTAAGCTTGAAAAACAAAACGAGATGCTATAGAGAATGTCTGACTTTTATCCACATCTGGTTTGGCATTTCTCTCATATTTTCCGCTTTATCTGAGCCGTTATTGTTGTTATCTGTACATTGTTAAAGCCTTTTATTGTACAGTTTTTTTCAAGTTGAGGGTGTTTGCAGAGCTGCCTCAGTTAAGACAGATGTTTAGATTGTTTTACTGTACTTAGCATTTTAAAGTTAGCCCTGTACCGTACATACATAGCTAAGTTAAAGGTGTCTTGTGGGTGTTTTTGTAAACAAAGTTACCTTTACAAACAGTTTTCATTCAAACAAAATGAGGACATTTGCATGAAAGTTGCTCAGTGGTGCATGAAGTAAAAACAATTTGACTTCCTGAGCATAAAACGAATGTGGGCCCCATAAAGCAGGTGCACTGGAGACTTTGCCAGGTAAGTGGCTAACTTCTGGTTTAGCCCTCTACTAATTTGAATTGGGATAACAATATTTATATATATTTATTAAAATGTTATCGGACCAAATGGATCAAATTTCATAGTGAAACAAGTTATTTCGCGGGGGCTGTGACACAAAGAAATTACACACTGACTTACAGATGTCTCCTTCACAGAGTAAGTCTATGGGAAAGGGTCTTGTTGGGCCAAGTGGCATCATGTGACGGATTTAGCCACTACAGAAATTGGCTTCAAAGCCCGGTGCTGTTCGCGGGGGCTTGGTAGTGGTCAGCGACTCCTTGTTATACCCCTTGTCAATCAATCTACCACTTCCTGTCCACAGAGGAGGTCCCGGCACCCACAGACTTGCAGTTCTACGAGGTTACAGACATGAAGATCACCATCACCTGGACTGGTCCACCCAGCGAGGTGACCGGTTACAGAGTGCACTTCACTCCTGTCAGTCCTGACGGCACTGAGACGAGGCTCCTGCAGCTGCCCATCTCCCCCAACGCATATGCTGATATCACCCACTTGCAGCCTGGCACACCGTACCGCTTCTACATCTACGCCATCAACAGTGGAGTGGAAAGCAAGCCACTTGTGGGAGAAAAGTCTACCAGTAAGTATAACCAGGGACAAAGGAGCCAGAGTTAGACACAGAGGGATTACAATAACATCATAAAGATTTTCTGTCTTACATGTGTTAAATTTTCTAACCCCTCCAGAACCTGATACACCCACCAATGTGCGATTCACTGACATCGGCCCTGACAGTGCACTGGTCATCTGGGAGGCTCCCCGCGCCATCGTCAGTGGCTACCGTCTCTTCCTGAGCATTGAGGGCTCCAACCCCATCGAGAAGAGGATCCCCGGCAGGGTCACCCAGTACCCTTTGAGGAATTTACGTCCAGACACCCAGTACACTGCCACCCTGCACTCCGAGCTGAACAACGAGCTCAGCGAGGGCGTCACTACATATTTTACCACCAGTCAGTATTAAGAGAAACACAACATCTGATCAGAAAAGAATACCTTGTTGCAATAAATTTAAATTTATTTTTCCCCATTCTGTCTTCCTCCCAGCTCCCCAGATGGGAAATAATCCTACTTTCGCCACTGAGGTCACTGATACCTCCATCATCATCACCTGGGTACCTGTCCGCAGGTTCAGCTACAAGGTAGACACCTACAACAACAACTTCATAATCAAACAAAACCTGCTTTAATCAATATTTTTATAATATCAATGCATCAAATCACTCTTGGTAATGTGAAAGGGGTTTACAGCTTGTCGCACTGCCCTTAGGTGGCCAAAAAAGATCACTTAATGCGGATTTAATGTCTTTGCTGTGGTATACTTTAAGTGTATTTTCTAGGTTTCTGATCTCTGCATGTCGGCCTCCTTCTCCACAGCTGTCTGTGCTCCCCAGCCAGACAGGCGAGTCTCCCAGAGAGGAGACCTCTGACTCTGGACGCATTGATATTCCCGGTCTGACTCCTGGAACTCAGTACACCTACAGCGTTCAGCCCATCTTCAACGGACGCAACCGTGGAAACCCCATCACCCGCAATGTCGTCACTCGTACGTGTCCAATTTACTTATACTACAAAAATAGGCACCTTAAAGTAAGTTGTATAACTCAACACCGCACTAATTTATGCTGTGGGCCCATGTTACACTGTTCTAACCATGTGGTATGAATTTGTTGAAGAAGTAACCGCTGCATTGAATCAAGTTTCTCATGCTTGTGTCAAAATGTGCTTTCCTCTCGTTACAGCCCTGTCTCCTCCCACTGACCTCAGAGTGGAGTCCAACCCTGTCACAGGAGATCTCACTGTCCACTGGGTAGCTTCCAAAACACCAGGTAAATATTGACTGTGCTCCCCACGCACTGCCGGCACATTTGATCTCGCCAAGTCTAGACCTTGGCCCTCGAATGCTATCTCTTTTTTTTTACAGGCACAAATGTCTCTTCCCGGTATTTCCTTTTGACTCATTTATTGCAAGAACCTCTTGACATTGTGTTCTACCCGCTTCACATTTGTCATGTTCTCCCCCCCTCTGGGGATAAAAAATGAAGCCAACGTGACAAAAGACTGCACTTCCTTGAATGGCCACTTGAGGCTGGCTCCAAAAGACTGTCAATCCCCATAGACCCCCAGTGTTAAAATGTGCAACTTTACAGCAGAAATTAACATGTTTTCAGCCTGGTATAAAAACAGTTTTGTTCTCTATAGGTAATTTTCCATTTCATGACAACTGTATGGGGGATGAATTTTTATGTAACTCACTCACTTAATTTTTATTAAGGCTTAAAGTTATGATTAAGAGCACAGCCATTTTGAGTGACAGGCTGTGGTCACTTCTGACTCCAAAAATCCAAGATGGTGATGGCCAAAATATTGAATCCGCAGATTTAAAACGGGGTCCACAAACTAATGGGTGACATCAAGGTGGCTACGTTAATTATTCTTACACAGTCTGTGTTCCCTCAACCCTCTGCAGGCATTACAGGCTACAGAGTAACAAGCACGCCAATGAGCGGCCAGCGAGGAAACTCCCTGGAAGAGTTCGTCCGAGCTGATCAGACCTCTTGCACGCTAGAGAGCCTGAATCCGGGGGCAGAGTACAACATCAGTGTCTTCACTACCAAGGGCCATTTGGAGAGTGTGCCAGTGTCCACAATTGTCACACCAGGTAGGAGCCACCAGGAAAGCATTCACACATGTTAATAGGCGTCAAACCCACGACTTTGTCCACAGAAACGACCGGTGTGTCTGTGTGAGGAAAAGAGAGAGATGAATTTGCCATGAAAGACTGGGTAGAAGTCATTTCACTTCCTGTCATTATCCCTACCCCCACCCCCCCACAATGTATTCCTCTTTATGCTGAAATGTTTTTCCTATGAATACATTGTTTTTGAAATTGGCGCAGTTTCAAAAAACAAAACAAAAAGCTTGTTGAAGCTTGAAGCTTTCATGAAGCTGCATGAAGGGATTTTTGGCCACTAGGGGGCAGAATAACTTCAAAACAACCTGATACACAGCAGTTATCACCTTTTGAAGTTATGTTAAATAGGTTTGCAGAAAAATGCCTACTTGCACATTCAGCAGACACAGAGCAACATTATTATCTCAGTTAAAGACTGAAATTCAGTACTCATTATCCTTACAGCTCTTTTTCAGCTGCACCAAAAATATCTCAGAGGCTAAAAAGCTTGGAGCTACAGAGTTGGGGGCTGATTCTCTTTGGATTCCTGACTTTAAACAACCCCTTTGTACAAACACATGAATTAATGCGGCTTTAATTATTATAACCTACTACTAACATGATCGTTGGTACATGCATGGAGTTCATGTTAGTTGGGATGGTGAAATTAATTTCCATTTTTTTAGCATGCCCAGAAGTGTTGTATTAATCACTGCTTTGATTATAAAGTGAATTGTGAATGTGTATTGATTCTAGTAATTTGTAATTGTCTCTATCTAGCATGGCTTCTGTTACACTCTGGATCTCTTGACTGCTTTTTTGGGAATGGAATCAATGTTTTTTGATATAACTGGTGTAATTATCATGGCTATTGGGTCTTTCTGTCTGTCTAATGTTGCTTGCGCTTTGCAACTGGCCTAACCCTTTCAGAAATCCCCGCACCAAGTCACATTGACTTTGTCGACATTACTGACACCACCATCGGCCTGCGCTGGATCCCTCCGAACTATTCAACCGTTACTGGTTACCGGATAATGGTGGTAACGTCAGGCGAGAGCTTGCCAATTTTTCAAGAAATGGTGGATGCGTCTGCTGGTTATTACACCATTCGTGGTTTGGAGCCGGGTGTGGACTATGACATCAGTATCTTCACTGTTACAGAGAAGGGGGAAAGCGAGCCGACCACACAAACAAAGCAAACACAAGCTGGTGATTTAACTCTTTCTCTCCATCCGTGGGAAGGGCTTGGGTTTTGATCTGAGAGAGTAGATGAAGGCACACTAACAACCTTTTCATTAACGCACATGATTAACTCAGACACTACAGCACATTTCAGATATGTATCACACCAATGATATTTTCTTAAGCCATTTTAAATCTGATTATTTAATGCACCTCTTTGTTTTTTTCCTGTGTTCGCTATAACTCTATTACTCATCCTTCCAGCCATTCCAGCTCCTACCAACCTGAGGTTTAGCGGTGTAGGTCCTGACCACATCAGGGTGACTTGGACAGTCCCCCATGTTGCCAATCCAAGCGACATCTCTCGATTTGTCATCCGTTACCACCCTGTAGCCACAGATGACGACATCAAGGAGGTCAATGTTGGAGGAGCCACCAACACCTTCGTGCTGGAGAGTAAGACGACATTAAGACTGTGTCTGTTTTAAAGGTTCTGACAACTGGATTTGTTTTTCTTTGCAATGCTCCACCTTAAGCCATTATCTTTCCATTTCCATACAGACCTGCTGCCCAACACCGAGTACAGTATCAGTGTTATGTGTGTGTACGGTGAACGAGTGAGTGAGCCAGTCACAGGGACTCAGAGGACAAGTGAGTATGACCCAAAGTGGGTACCTTATTTTGTGGATAGGCATTGGGTGGTGTCATGAAAAAAAAAATCAGGTTTGGGAGCCACTGGATTATGACACCAGTACAAAAACAGTCTCCAACAACAAAACAAATTGTTAAAAAGAGATAATATGTGTTGCCTTGCAGTTTTGTAATTTCCATTATCATTGCATGTAATTTAAAACCTTCCCCTGCAGCTCTGGACTCCCCCACTGGCTTGGATTTCTCTGACATCCGCACCAACTCCTTCACTGTCCACTGGCTGGCTCCAACCGCTGCTATCACCGGCTACCGCATCCGCTATCAGAAGACGAGCGGCGGGAGGGCCAAGGACGAAAGGCTGCCCCCAACCAGGAACTACTACACTTTGACCGGACTGACACCAGAGACTGAGTATCTGATATATGTGTACGCTGTCAGCAACACTCAGGAGAGTCAGCCTCTGACTGGCACACAGGCCACCAGTGAGTTCTGTCATGGTTTCTGCCATCATGTCTCTTTTTCTTCTCTTGTCTTGATCACAGTTATTCTTATGTTTTTTTAATCGCATTTTTAAATTATAATACCTCTTTCCTCTCTTCTCCAGTCTCTGATGCCCCTACTGACCTTGAAGTAACATCGTCCACCCCCACCAGCATATCCATTCGCTGGGACGCCCCTTCTGTCACGGTGAAGAACTACAGGATCACCTACGGAGGCACAAGTCAGTACATATATTTGAAGTCATAGTTTGCTCTAAACCTGAACCGTATTTGGAGCGTAACACTCGTCTCTTCTAACTGTAGGTGGCGAGGCTCCTCAAGAGTTCACAATCCCAGGCACTCAGACTTACGCCACCATCAATGGTCTGAAGCCCAGTACTGACTACACCATCACAGTCTATGCTGTTACAGGAAGAGGGGACAGCCCCGCCTCCAACACCCCGGTCTACATCACGCACAGGACAGGTACTTCAATGAAAAAATAAAATAAAATCTGGAGAAAAAAAATATTGAGAGGTTAAATCTAAAGGTTATGTGTTCATCTCTCCTTCAGATACTGAGCCCCCCACTGACATGCGACTGACTGATGTTAGTGACAACGCCCTCACAGTGCGCTGGTCTCCTGCTCAGGGACCAATCAGAGGCTACAGAATCACCAGTGTTCCCAAGAATGGGTTGGGACCCTCCTACTCTGAGGAGGTGGCCCCTGGTAAGAAAGAGAAAAACAAAATTCCTAAAACCCTACAATTTATTTTACATATTTTTTCCAACACAGTACCCTCTTCTCACTGGCTCCTTTTCTGCTCGTCTGTTACAGATCAGACTCAGATGACGTTCACAGGTCTGATGCCCACTGTTGAGTACGTTGTGAGTGTCTATGCCCTGGGCAATGATGGACAATCCTCTTCACCCGTGTCGGACAGTGCTATCACTGGTTAGTTTGCTCTCTTTTCATTGTTCAGACAGTTTACGTGCACTTAAAGGCAGGATATGCAATTCTGTGTCGCCACAATTGTCTTAATCAAAACAATAACGAAAGTAGGAGCAATGCCATCATTGCAGTCAGTTTCTCCTGGTTAGGATTCCCTCAGTGTTCCTACTTTGGGAGATTTTTACTGGGAGCCAAATTGTCCTTAAAGGTCTCCAAAATAAACAGATCAGGTGATTAAAATTGGTTGGCTTGCTCCTCTGAAAACGTAATCCCCCCCTCTTCCTTCTCTCCTGCAGCTATGGATCGTCCCAAGGACCTGACCTTCTCCGACATTGACTCCACCTCCATGCGCATCACTTGGGACAGTCCAGACGGTACCGTGACATCATACCGTGTCCTGTACTCCAGCTCAGAGGAGAGCGAGAGGGAGCTGCGTCCAGCACCCAGAGGTGATCAGGACACTGTGGTGCTGAGAAACCTCCGCCCCGGGACAGAGTACACTGTAAAAGTCATCGCCCTCCATGACCGCACACCCAGCAAACCGTTGGTGGGAACCCAGGCGACAGGTAGGAACACACAGAAAACATCAACACGTCAATGACCTAATTTATTTGTAACCTGACTCTGATTCTAAATGTGCTTTTTGTTGTGTTAGTGATCCCTGCTCCGACCAACCTGGTGATCTCAGATGTCGGTCCCTCCACCTTCACCGTGTCATGGCGTGCTCCCAGTGCACGCCTGTCAGGCTACCGTGTGGTTGTCAACCCCAAGGACGTCAATGGACCGACCAAAGAGATGAACATAGCTCCGGACACCACGCGTGTTGTTGTACCGGGACTCATGGTAACAAGAGTTCTTATCTCAGTATTTATTTATTGATTACAGTCAGTCAGTAGGTAAATATCAACTGTATGTGTCGTAGGTGGCAACCATATACCAGATACACGTCTACGCCCTGAAGAACTCTGTCACCAGCAGACCGCTGGAGGGGGAGGCGACCACACTGGAAGGTAACCGGCTGCATCATAAATGAACACATTTCCAGTCATCGCATGGTGTTATCCCCTGCTCTGTTTTATGACTGTTTCTTTTCCTCCTTGATGCAGATGTAAGTCCTCCTCGGCGTGTGCGCATCTCTGATGTGAAGGATACGTCTTTCACGCTGACCTGGCGCTCCAAAGTGGAAACCATCACTGGTTTCCTCATCGAAGCCACGCCCCACGGTGGCTTGCATGCCCCCATCATCAGAACCATTCCAGGACAGACTTACACCTACACTCTCACAGGTACAACACACCCTCCTTCTAAACACACTTTTATTCAGTTTACAGATGTAAGTTTCAGAAGTGTGACTTAAATGTTTGTTTGTCTTCTCAGGTCTGCAGCCAGGCACCACGTACTCTGTTAACCTGTACACCCTGAATGGCAACACAAAGAGCGCCCCCTTCAGTCTCATGATACAAACAGGTACTATACAGATCTGTGTCCGATGTCTGCTTCATTGTGCATACATTTCATGCCCCTCTTCAGAAGCCAAAAACACGAATGCCCACCCACCACCCCACAGTTTTTCTAAATCAATAATTAACAATAATTGGGAAGCAACTAATAAGAAAGCATCCATGTTGAATTTTAGTGAAATGGAAGTCAACAAGATAGCATCAGAAAACTCTAGTTTATTTTGCGTACATAAATCTGTTTCACTCCATATTTGTCTCCTGGTCATCCATGCCCCATCTGCTGTACCCAACTGTTTAAGAAACAATTATTTAATGGTGTTTTATCTGTATCATTACATACAATACATAGTGTATACACTGTACAATGTGAGTACACGCATTGCAAAAGGACTAAGAGAAAGAGATGAAATAGTAACATACACAACGTTGTAGTTTCATGCAGCCACAGTAGATGCACCCATTTTAGAAATTGTTTGTGGCTCCAGAGGAGGCTGCACAGAGTCTGATAAATGGCCTCAAGTGAGTCAGTATTGGTTGTGGCTGAAGACCAGTGGTGGAGTGTAACTAAACACATTTCCTCAAGTACAAATATGAGGTAATTTTGCTTTAGTTAAGTATTTTAATCTCATGCCACATTCTGCTTTTACTCCACTCCACTTAAGACTGAAATGTTGTACGTTTTACTCCACTACAATTATTTGATAACATTAGATTTTTGAACAGAAACTATATGAAAATATATAAGAGCAGCTGAAACGATAAATTGATTGATTAGAAAATCAACAGGCAACTGTTTTGATAACTGTTAAAGTAATTTTTCTATTCAAAAACATTTCATGGTTCCAGATTCTTAAGGAGGACTTGCTGCTTTTACTTTGAATTATTTTGATTTATTAAGTTGATTGAGATTTTTTGCGCTGAGCACTTTTACTTTTAATGCTCAAATACACTTTCTTGATTTTACTGACATACTTCTGCTCCATCAATGTTGAATTTTTCTTTTCCAACTTTTCATATTAGGCCCAACAGTGTTTTAGGACATTATTGGGACAGTGTGCACTGCTAAATTATTGGAGTTCTCGTTAAATCAGGTCCTAAATGACAAATGCAGCTGTAGCATTTACAACAATAAGATGAACTAACATGATATTTTTCATCACAGCTGAACCAGTGGTCCAGGCTCCCACCAACCTCCAGTTCACATCTTTGACCCCCACCTCCATCTCCTTCACCTGGCAGCCACCTGCCACACACATCACAGGATACCACGTCACCTACGAGGAGTCAGGAGGAGCACCACGAGAGCTTACCCCACGACCCCACCCCGGCCAAAACTACGCCACCATATCTGGTATGAGCTTGTCATGCATTTACATTTGTCCGCTTATTTAGTTTTGCTGCAGTTCCTTTTAATTTTCATTTCCAGTTTGATCATAAAAAAGGTTTAGAGTTATGAAAAGCTTCACACAGGCTCCACCCCTTATATAATTCTTACACATAATCACGAGTCAGGTGCAACCTGCTAATTCTACTGCGTGATAATTACCCATCTCCTCAGGTCTGAGACCAGCCACAGAGTACATCATTAAGATCATCGCTATCCAGAACACAAAGAGGAGCACACCTCTGGTGGGCAAGATCAGGACTCGTGAGTATATTAAGACATCTGTGAAAAATATGATGGTAAAGGTGATGCATTCAAGTAATCAAATAAAGTGCCTTAATTCAGATTTGTTACGGGTAAAGATCCTATAAAATGTTAGGGACTGAATGGCAGCTTCAATCTGCTCAGCTGAATCAAAATATTTTGCAGCAGCAGCTCAGAGATAAACTGTGCAGTCGATCAGCATTTGGCTGCTAAAACAATAATACCTTGTTTTATTTTGAATGTCTCAAAAATGTCATTCAAAATATCTGTGTGTTTGTAATGCTGCATTGAGACACACTTTGCCATGAAGCAGTACCCCAGCGATGCTGCATATCTGCTGCCTCCTGTTGGCTGAGATGCATTACTGCAGCTCTGCTCTACCTCCCCCCTCATCTAACCTGCTTGCTTCCCTAACCCCATCTCTCCCGCCCAGAACCCGACTCCTTGCTTCCCCTGCCGCTGCCCCGCCCTGGAGGGGTGCTGGATGTGCCTGAAACTGACTTGGACAACACAGTCCAGGTAGTGGGCAACAGTGGCCAGGATGCGCATAGTGGTCAGAGCCAGACTGTGGAGTACACAGAGTACAACAACAACGGAGGCAACATCAGATTTAACGGGAACATTGACAACCCACAGTCGCCCTATGGGCAAGTTCGTGAGCCCTTGGTATTTGTGCCCCTTCCTGATGCAGAGGGCCGCAGATTGCCCATCCTGAAGATGAACGTACCCGTCGGCTCCACATTTGATAACGAGACAGGAGTGCCGCAGGAGGCCCAAACTCAGACTACTATCTCCTGGAAGCCTTACAAGCAGAGCAACGCCTACCTGGTGTCCTGCCAACCCATCACACACTTAAACGAGAAGATGTTCCAAGTAAGGGTCATGATTTCCATCCCAGCCCATCATGACATTATTTATCAGTCATGTTTGATACAATCTCTTACTTCATGTGGACACACCTTGACTCTCTCTCTCTACCTGTCCAGGTCAGGCTGCCAGGCACAGCCACCACTGCTACCCTGATAGGACTCTCCCCCGGAGCGAACTACAACGTGATGGTGGAGGCTCTGATAGGGGCGCTCAAACACAAGGTCCTGGAGCAGGTCATCACGGCTGGGAACACAAGTAAGCATCCTCCATCAACTGCTGTGTCTATACTGGGCGGAGATAAATTCAGCATAGAGCAACTCAGCCCTTTATTTACCTTACCGGCCGATTTATATTTGGTCACAGGTTTCCAGATAACTTCCTCCTTTCATAACTTCCTCCATGTCATGTCAATTCAATTCACTCACAGAATTCTTTGAGAAGCACAGATGTAGTGATGAAACTACACATTTACCATGTTTTATTTTTTGTTTGTTTTTGCATTTTAGTTTATCCTCTTTAACATATGAAACTGATGAGAATGACCATTATTACTAAGTCACTAAATATAAACCATCGTGCCCCAAAGGAAGTTTACTCAAAGCGGAGCAGCAGTTACTCTGGCTAATCAATCTTCAAGCAACTTGTGGCTAACACACATTTTTTCCCCACCAAACTTCATCAGTTCCAGAGGGTGTGCCCGCCAATAAGGACTCATGTTATGATGCCTTCACTGCCACCTACCACGATGTTGGTGGTGAATGGGAGCGGATGTCTGAGACCGGCTTCAAGCTGTGGTGCAAGTGCCTGGGTCTGGGAAGTGGTCACTTCAGATGTGATTCATCTAGTAGGTTTAGGGGGATTTTTCCCCTGGATGTATATGAGCACATATGGAATCTGATTATATTTGGCTTAGTTTCTCTAACTAATATTTTGTCCATCATTAGAGTGGTGCCATGACAATGGCATCAACTATCGCATTGGAGAGAAGTGGGACCGCCGTGCAGAAAATGGTCACTTGATGAGCTGCACTTGTTTGGGCAATGGCAAAGGAGAGTTCAAGTGTGAACCACGTAAGGCCTCTTAAGATTCAAAGAAATATTCTACAACAGGTGCGACAGAGTTACATGTGATTTTTAATATGTGTATATGCCCACACAGATGATTCCGTGTGCTACGACGATGGCAGAACTTACCAGGTGGGAAACCAGTGGCAGAAGGAGTACATGGGTGCTATCTGCACCTGCACATGCTTTGGAGGACAGCAGGTACGACACATCAGCCTCCCTGGCTTTGTGATTAACTTGGGGTCACTCATGTTGATTGCACGATGTAATAGCTTTAGAATAATGACACCATCAGCAGATTGGTTCCCTAAAAAGCCTCATTCTCTCTATGCAACCTGTCTGCAACCTCTTGGGAAAATGAAGGCTTGACTTCAGGTCACAAAGGAAGTGCATTATACATTGTGCAACTAAAACAGGAAGAGAATAGTGCTTTTGTTTTCTCCTGTAGCTATTGGAAGCTATCTCCAATTACAAAATAGTACAAACGTTCTTTGCAGTTACGTCCAGCAGTGTCAGAAATGGTGGACGGTGTAACAACAAAAGTAACTGGTAGTTTCTAGGCTCTGAGAAAAACAAAAACTGATCTGGTTGTCTTTGCAACAGCGGCACCAACACTAGTACAACTTGAAAATGCTTAGGAGGAAATGTTGTCTGCTTCCATTTTAAATGTTTGGTTGTGTATGTTTGATCTCATCAGGGCTGGCGATGTGAGAACTGCCGCAGACCAGGTGGGGATGTCGACGCCAGTCTGCTGCAGCCTGTCAGATATGGAAACACACTACGCGTAAGTGGAATTTATATAAAATACTTTCAATATTATGTTGTTTTTTTCCCCCCCAATAGAGACATCATGTGTGATTCCTTACTTGGGAACCTGATGTTGAGTTTTACCAAATGTCATGAAAACACAGGACTGTTTGTGACCTTACCTCTTCAACTGTTCCTCCAGAATATTCACTGCCCCATTGAGTGCCTCCGACCCGACCTGCTGGCAGACGCAATCGCTCCTCAGAATCCTCGGGAGTAAAAGTATCAGACGTCCGCTTTGCTCCGTCATCATCCAACCGCTGCACTGTCTCACCCTGTAAAGCCATGCTGTCTGCGACTGAACTAACAGCCTTATCACTTTCTGACACACGTTTAGCCAAAGATGTTACACTGCCCTGCTGCCTGATCCGAGTGATCCTCCTCTAAAGCCAGTCTTTTCACTGTCGACTGTCAAGTCTCTAAATTCACGCTCAAATCAGAAAGACTCCTGCCGTTTCTTTCTTTTGTGTAACATTCCCTTCCACATATTTGTGTCTGTACCTCAATGAAAGTTATTTAGTACTTGCCACCAGTCAGATTTATAGACTTCTCAAATTGGCATTTGTTTTCCATTTAAAAATTCAGCAACATTTTCTCACCAAAGAGCATCAACTGTCAGAAAGTAAGCACTGTGTTAAAGAATGCAAATGTAGTTATTAACAATGTTGAAATTGTCCATGAAAATGTGCTTTTCTTCTCTGTAGCCCTTCTTCTGTTACTAACTGAGGGGTCGCACTGTGTGTGATTGACACATTATGATTTCTAATGTCTTTTTACTAATTTATCCCTTTTAATCGGTGTGTGAATGTGTGAACTGGGATGTGAGAATTTGAACTGTTCTATTTTTGTACTTTGTTGTCCGTGCCAAAGTTGTTTCTACCTTTTGACAAAAAGAAGTCCCTTATTTTAATAAAGCTGGAGAGATCCTGAAACCTAACTGCAATGTGATGTTTATTTTGTTTTAAGGACATGTTTGCAGAAGACTTAAGACCATTTCTTTATGGTCTACTCTTAAATAGAAAAGGGAAAAATGCTTAAAGAAGATTAACTAGATGAGCGAAAGGGTCTTAAATAGAATAAAAAATATAAGTAAAACATTTTGGGGTCCAAACTGAAGCCATGTAGGTGGTCATGAAATCAGTTTCCTTGATTTAAATTTGATAAAGTTTAAATTGTATCATTGAACTGTCTTTAACAAGATTATGAGGCACAGCTGTGCTTTGGCTTGAACACTAATGTCGGCATGCTAATATACAATGACAACAGACTGAGATCAAGGCCATTAAATGAAGGCTTGAACACGTTATCTTTATCATGTCATATCACTGGGGTACAACACAACCCGGGGAGCCACGCCCTGAAGCAGTGGTTCCCAACTGGTCCAGCCACAGGGTCCAGATTTCTTCTTAGTCATTAGTTTAAAGTCCACACACATTAATATATTCAGTGTCATACTTTTGTTTGGCCATGTCGTCAAGCTAGTTTGCGGTCTCTGTCAAGTAGCTGTCCGTTACTCACTCAATCTACAGCAGGAATTGGCACTTCAAAATAAAAGCTCTGTGCTGGAAATTCACTGTACTTCAAAATAAAGTGTTTTTTTTTTAACAAAATTGACAAGTTTTAAGTCACTTGCAGTCCATTCAGAATGGACCCGCGACCCACTTTTGGACCACTGCCCTCAAGCATGCCCTGCTTTATCATCCGTTTTCCTCTAAATGAGACCATAATTTACAAAATAAACATCAGGCTGTATCAAAGAAGACTTGAAACTATCGATCAAGGCCATAAGCTCATTAGGAAAATGTTTGCTGAGGTAATAAATCAAGTGAGAAGCAGGGTCATTTTTTGCATTAACAGGTCCCCCCTGCTGGCTATTTGAAAAAATACAGGGTTAAGACACTTCAGCATTAGAGTCGCTTTTCAGACACAGATTTTGACGTGTGGTCCGAACCAAAGCAGTGGACTGAAATAAAGAACCCTAGAGCCCTGCTGCTAGCATGGATAAAAACAGACAAAATACACATGAACTGTTGTTAACAGTTTATTTCACAGTGAAACATGACTGAACTAGAATTACCATCAACAGTTACTGTCTCTCTCTAAAGTTAGGATCACACATAAGGAATGCAGTTAAAGTGTTATAAAACAGTGCATCTGTGACCTCTACATTCTACACTACAGCATGATAAGGGTAGGAATGTTTTGAGCATCAGGAATGTTAGAAAAAGATTTTGACTCTAATAATGCAGAACTGTGAGTTTGGTTTAAAGAACACCTGGAGAAAACGCTGAGGCGCTCAGTGGTGGAAGAGCCGCAGGTTGGTGTGCACCAGAGTGATGCCCTGCTCATTACAGGCATTAATCACAACCTCGTCAGCAGCAGAGCCTGCTGGAGCTGCGATGTACTCCACACCACTCTACAGACACACACACACAGAAAGGAAACATTAGTATTTATGGTTGGAAAGCTTGTCAGTACAGTAATGTTTTCAGAGTCAGTAGAGTTTGCAAAAGATTTTATTGCAGAAGGTGTCTGCAGGCCATTCCCATGCAATTTCTCAATAAAGTGCATACATTATAAACTCATGCGTTTGTGAACAGTGTGTTATATTTACCCGTTTGGCTCGATCGATGTTATCTCTGAAGGGGAAGAAGGCGTCAGAGCTGACAGCCACGGCCTGCAGGGAGCTGATCCAGTTCTTCTTCTCAGTCTCTGACAGACGCTCAGGCACTTCGTCGTACATCGACTGCCAAACTGCCAAGTCTGGGCCCTGTCAACACAATATACACACACACACACACACACACACACACACACACACACACACACAATACAGGAGTCTGCATTTAATTCCAGAACCTCAAACTTGACATGACATTAAACATTAGATATCACACAGAAAACAGGATGACTGTGTGTTTTTGACAGCAACTGTGGGAACAATTTTAATGGATCTATCCAAATGAAGTAATGAAGAGAAATCTAATGTCTACAGGTATTAGACACTTAAATTTAATGCTTTCAAGACCTTTTAAGCACTACAGGTAAGAAGAAAATCCCTTTAAAGCTGCCTGTTGCCTATCATGACCCTCTTACCTCTCCAATGGTGTCGCTGACATACTGGTCAATAGCGTTGGCCATCTCCGCTCGTTTCACACCACTGCGAAACTTCATGGTCAGGACACGAGGGTGGTGCCTCAGCCACCAGTTGTCAGCTTTGTCACCTGCCAGCCGAGTGCAGTGGATACGAGACTGCTGACCCGCTCCGATACCAACAACCTGTAAGACAAGAGGAGACATTAAAGCAAAACTAATGGCCCCATCCAGACTCCTCTCTCCTCCTTTCATCTGCCTGTTCTCACCTGTCCGTTTTTAGCATAACACACAGAGTTGGACTGAGTGTACTTGACAGCGATGGTGGCCACGGTGAGATCACGCACAGCTTCCTCGGAGAGCTTGTGGACACAAAAACAATCAAAAGCGTGAACACAAGATTGGATTGTGTCCATCATGAAAGAATGACTTCAAGAGGAAGTAAACACACTGCAGTGACTCACCGAGCCCTTGGAAACAACGTTGTTGAAGAACTCCTTATTGATGAGTGCTCCATTCCGCTTTTGTTTGAGATAGAGACCAAACAACACTCTCACCTCAGTCTCATCGGGCTCGTAGTCTGGATCCATCTGGGATAAACACACACATTGTTAATCAGAGAATTTTACCATACTCTGATTCTAGTCATCTTTATTTCAACACAAAAATGATGATTGATAAAAATCTCTCACTTGAAGCACACAGTAGTTGCCATTCTTCTTTTTGGAAAGAATCTTGAGTGCCTCTTCATCATAACCAGGAGCAATGATGCCATCTGACACCTGAGAGCAAGCAAATTGAATCAGGGACCAGCCGTTCCACTTTTCCATGTTTTGTTGAAATAAACGACATTAATCAGAGTATGCACAGCTGCATGTGTACAGGAATATTAGTGGAATCCTCTTTTTCGTTAGCCGTGTAAACAGCTTAGTAGGAACGTTGTCTTTTTCGGGATAAGGGCAAAAAACAGAATATTTTGTGCATGTACACTTAGTCAGCATTGCAGCAAAAACAAACATCTGTTTTTGTTCTTCGACACATGACTTTACCTCTCTTGATATAATCTTGGCGGTGGGAACGTCACAAACATCCGACACAGCGATGAAGTCTCCAAACGAAGACATTCTGTCTGAGCCCCTTGCCCTGGCGTAGGCCGTAGCCAGCGGGGTCAGATCCTTCAGCATGTCATGCACCATGCACACTCTGGCTTCCTCCTCGGTCAGAGGAACTCCCACTGCAGCTCCTTCAGAAGAAACGTGAAAGAGAGTCATTTCAGTTTCACGGCACATTATTCCAAGTCAATATTTGTACAGTAATGAGTGTGTGTCTTTTTGTCTTACCAGCAGGGCTGACGTGTTTGAAGGAGGTGGCAGCAGCCATGCCGAGGGCGCTCTTTAACTCTCTGACCAGCTGCCAGGCGTTCAGAGCATCACACAGGTTGATGAAGCCGGGGGAACCGTTGACAACTGAGCAGGGGCAAAATGAATGTTTAAGAAAAACATATTTATAGTTTGCAATATCTGCACCTCTATGAAAATTAGCAACATCTTTCTTAAAATACCTCACATCATTGAATGACCTCCCTGTCCTCCTGCCTTATAACTTGTATCAGCTGTTCTCTGACATGGTCACTTTAGGGTGACAGGGATATTGATGTGGCACTACTCACAAAATCCTGTTTTATTTGTCATCTATGTTAATTCTGTTTATGGCAGAAAGTTAAACAAGAAGATCAATACCATACCATCAAATTCCCAAAGTCTTAAACTACACCTTTAAAAGACATACCTCTAAACACACTGACACATTTAGCTCAGCTGAGACAGCCATGATGTGATGTGGGCTCTACCTTTGAGGGGGAGGGCTGGGCGCAGGGTGTAGAGTTGGGCGGGTGCTTGGTGAGGGTTCATGCCGTAGCGCAGAGGCAGCTGGGAAACACCGCGGCTGTACTGCCCTCGAAAGTAATCCGATATGGCCTCGTCGTACTGTGCTGTGTGTGTGAAGGCCTGAAGAGCAGAGAACATCAAACACTGATGACAAAGAAATACATACTCTGTGTGCTGAAGCCAGAGTTATAAACCTCAAGGGATTTGCAATTTATTACTCCACAATTGAGAAGGTAATACGAGGCTGTGACCATTTAACAACTGCATAACTTATGTGGGTTTCATCCCAAAGCAGCGTCCCAGCGATGAGTTCAGTCTGACTATAAGGTGAAAGTTTACAAGTCCTCCGATGTTAAACTCTGTAACCTAAACACACATTCCAACATTGGTGATAGAGAGTCTACGCTGGACTTTGTCATGCACTGACCCTAATCTGTACACAAACAACAACAAAAAAAAGGGAACAAATGAGGACACCAAGATTGTTGAGCCTGGTTGCCATCCTGATTTTGTCTGACAACATTAACATGACTAAGCTTAAGCTCGTACTGAGGAAGACACTGTAAAGGAGAATTATCTTAACTGTGATAAGACTGACACATTTCTTATATTAACTTACGTTTGCCTCAGAAACCTCCTGGCATATCCTTATGTTTCGTAAGAATCTAACAGGTTACTATTATGCAATCATCACTTTAAGACCTGTTCCTTCATTAAAAAAAAGCCAGAGGCAAGATTCACCTCTTATTCCTCTTAGTCTTTGCTACGACTGAGATTAGACTGGAACAAGTCTGAACAGTGACAGGACGGGATTAACGGATGTTTGAGGTATATGTGATTAGACAAGAAAGGCTGATAGTGACGCAGAATTTAAGTCTTTGCAACTTTAAAATGCTGCTTTCAAACTGTACAGCTCAAGACTGTGATAAGTCAGGAAATAGGCTGTCCCGGTCCTTTG